TATTTATATTATTTTTCCAGATCTTCATTATATTCTATTTCTTTTTTTTTTCTTACAATTTCTTATAATATTTAACATTATGATATCATATATTATCTGTTATACAAGCTTCTATGAAATCCAGTTTATTATTCTTAACTGTTTTATCTTTATATAACTGTTTTGCATATTTGTGTTACTTCTTTAATTATTATTTTAAATATTTTATAAGACTCTCTATTCAGTTAATTAATTATCTGACTTTTTAACACTCATTTAATTCTTTAATTATTTTTTCTTATTTAATATTTAATTTGTCTAAATTATTTCCTTCCAAATTTTATATGTCTTGTGTAATCTTTCTTTTTATTCTACAATTTATCTGAGTATTCTTCTTTCTTTAAATAAAAATAAATATTCTTCTTTTATCATATGATTTTCTTTGTGACTTTTATTATATCTTTGTTGATCTTTATTGTATATATTACTGCATTATAAATTATGAAATTTATAAAATTATTGATTCTATAGCAAATTATCATCTTGAACATTTTTGATTTTTCCATCAAATACTTTAATAATATTCTATAATAGATATTACCAAATAAATTAGAACATATATTTATTAAAAAATTATCATGCAATAATGTGTAACTACATAATAATAATTAGATATAGATCTTGATAAATATTATTATTTATCCTTATGATGAGTACTAGAAAAAACTGAACTAATTCTTGTTCTTATTATTTAAAATCAAAAACTTTACAAGTATCATAATTTATATTTGTAAAAGTTTGATATTCGTTAAGTATTCTAATCCAATTATATGTATTTTTTTTTTGTGTTTTTAACAACTCCATATGAAATTATTTTTTATATAAGATTATTAGTAATAAGTTCAAATGATTTAAAGAACTAGGATTTGTATTTTTATATTTTTTTTATAAAAAAAGGGAAGAAATTTAAAATATTTAATTTAATAAACAATGTTATTTAAATAATACATCAATTACACTATTAGTATGTTATATAAGACATAGAATAACTTACTTATTTTTCACTTTGATAAAATAATTCAGTAAATTTCCACTCAGCTGATATTTAAATGGTTTTATCTAAGCAGAAATTTACTTCTTATTTTTTGCTTTACAGAAAATAAGTAATATTTATTACAGATTCTTTTATAAGTAAACAAAAACTAATTATTCAATATTTTAATTAATCAAGATGAAAGTTCTTATTAAATAAATTATATTAAAATATACTTTAATTATTTAATAGTTACTGAAAATAATCTCAAAATTATCAAATAACAATTTTTAACCATCAGTCTAAAACAAAATAAAAGTTTATATAATATTAGATATTTTAATAATTAATATTATATAATTAGTTATTTAAGTTACTTGTAAGTTAAAAGTATAATAAGGTAAATAGAAGATAAAAGTTATAGAAGATTGATTATTTTTTTAATATGTATTAATAAATGAGTACTACTTCATTGATGTTCTGTATTATATAAATGTTTTATATTAAACTAAATTATTTAATCTAAAAATACTTATACTATTTTTAAACTACTTAAATATATTATTTAATATTCTAAGACTTAAGATATATATATAAAAATAATTATATAAATTATTTAAAGATATATAAGAGATTTATTTATTAAAACAAAATAATTCTGAGAATTTTTTGACTAAAATTTAATTTTTATTACATTTTAATCTAATATATCAATGCAATAAAAATTAAAATTTATTAAAATATTTTCAGAATTCCATTTTTTTAACAAATTTCTTATATAAGTAATTAATCTAAAGTATAAATAAAGAATTATATATTTCTAAATGTGTATTGATTTAATATGTTCTACATTTTTGCTCAAAAATTTTACTTGTATTATACTTGCTTTGAACTTCATAAAAAATATTTCCTTAATAAAATTCAATGTAAATACAATAATATTAATCTAATATGAGGTTTTGAAAATTTTAATATTAATTTATAAAAATGGTAAATTAATATTTAAAAAATAATAAATTATTATTTAATTAAAATTAATTTTGTAATATAAGAATTTTGTATTAATTTTGTAATAAATTTTAATATTAAATTAATGTAAAAAATGTAAAATGTAAATTAATATAAGATAAATATTTTTTATATTAACAAAGTTCCTATTTCTTAGTATAGAATTATAATTATCTGAATGCTAATTTTTTAAATATATCCTTATTAAAATATATTTGATTTTAATTAAACAATCTACTGAAATCTTAAAAATTAAAGATATTAGAGATATTAAGAATATTAAGAAAAAATATGTTAGTAAATATATATAAAAATCACTTATACATTTCAGGTAATTGTATAGTTTATTTAAAGGAAACCTTTAATTTTGTTAAATCTATTACTACTAAATTGAAATATGTTAAAGTAAAAGTCTGATGTTTACATTTGACTGAACTAGATATTAAAATATATTTTTATTAGCATATTAATAATAAAAAATATAAGATGAATAAGTTTAAAAATATAAGGATAATAATTGGAAAATAATTCTATTTAGCAATAAAATAGCTTTCTGATTATTTTGTAATATATTAAAGTTGCTACACTTTACTCTTTAAGAAATTCAATCACTTTCTTCTTTTTGTTATTTTTATATGGATTTTTTAAGAAATTCTTCCTATTCATTATCTGAGATTTTATTTTGAGATTTTCCATAGGCTTGAATTACATAATTAAGACTAGTTTCAGAATCCTTTTTATTGATATAAAAGTGTAATACTAATCTATTTAATACTAAAAGTTTATATGAAATAGTTTTGTATAAAGAGTATTACTAGTTTTTATTTTAGATGTATAATAAATGGAGAATATTATTAAAAAATAACTTTTAGAAGTATGCAGTATATTATGAGATAAATAGTAAATTCAATAAAATAATGATTCTAATATACAGTTGAATTTAATATTAAAATATGTTTCTTTTGATTTATTAATATATAAAATATTAGTTTATTAAAGAATTTAGAAAGCTTATTTATTATAAAAGCTATCATTATTTAAAATTTTTTGTATCTTTTATTATTATTTTATTATTTTGTAATTTAGAACTAGAGGTAATAATTTATGCTTTGTTTTCTATAAAGATAGTTTCCATAATTATTTTTAAATTTCAATTGAGATGTAACTTAATTACGCTATAAGAAAATTTAATTGCATCTCAAGTTGCAACTCAATTGCACCATTTTTTTAATTATGGTGATCATCTTTAGTTTTTTAGCTTTTTGGTTTTAAGTTAATATTATAAATTTGTTTATTATGTATTTTAGTATTTATTGAATTTATTATGGTTAATTAGTTTTATAATAAATTTTTAGTTATGTAAATTTATTTGAATAGATAGTATATTTATAAAGATAATGCAGTTGTAACCTTTATTTAATCATTTATATTCTTTAATCATTGATTTATTTGTAATTAAAGCAGAAGAATATAATGAGATATTATAAGCTTTAGTCTGCTTAAAATATTAGCTAAAATTAACATATACTTAACCAACAGAAAAAAATTATTTGTTTAATCATAAAGATATTTCTGATAAAATAAGATCTTATATTTTATATAAAGAAAGAAAATTGATATCTACTTGATGGTTTTCATTAATATAAATATTATAGATTCATTTTTAATTTGAATATTAATAAATTTATCTATTATACTAAAAACTATTCATACATGTAAGGATTCTAAATTAATATCAGTTACAATTCTAATATAATTACATATATTTAAAATGTCTAAATTATATTTAAGATATTATACAAATATTTATAGGCATTATTCTGATATTTTAGTATTAATTAAACTAGATTACTTATAACTATGATATTTTATCCTTAAATGCAATTAATAATTACATATATAGCAGAAATAGAAGTGAATAATTTTGTCAAAACTATTGAAATTTTATTAATAATTAATATGCAAATATTTCTTAACTTTTTAAAATATTTGTGATCACAAAAGATTAAGGTTTATAAGGTTTAATATCTATAAATTATTCTTAAATCCTTAGTATTAAATATATTATTTCTCTAAATTATGTTACTGCTATAATATCATATATGTCTTCTATGTCTTCTGTGACATATATCTCTTAATATATTTTATTTATTATATCTCTTTTATTACATATATATCATATATATCATATATATTTCTTTTATTTCTTATCCAAGTTTAGTAATGCTAATTTTCCGAATATACCTTTTCCTGAAGTCAAATTTCTTGAACGACAATTTTCCGAACTGGCCTTTTACTGAAGCATCCAATTTTCTGAATGCCATTTCTCCAAATTCTGAGTTTCTAAATAGACATTTTCCCAAACTCTAATTTCATGAATGACATCCTGAATACCCAACTTTCCGAATCCCAATACCCCGAATGTCCATATTCCTGAATACCTATATCCCGAATGGATTTCTTAGCAATCTTATTAAATCCGAACAACTAATCACATCAGTTATAGTCTAAGAGTTCAAGTTATCACACTAACTTGAGAATAATTTCGGCTATAATTTATCCAACTCGGATGTTAAGTTACACCTAGAATCTTTCTGATTGATTTTATTACAACATTACTTACCAGATAAATTTTATGATTTAAAGTTTAAAGTTTGAGTTGAATAATGATCATCTTTCGCATACATTCATAGTATCAATGTGGAAATTCACAAAGATATATAAAAAATTTTCAAGTGATTTAAATTTTAATAAATGGTTCGTTAAAATGTGTTTTCAGCTTTCATCGCATTTTGATTACAAATGTGAGATCGCCTTGAAGTTATAATATTTTTAGAAAGCCTTAGCTACAATGCCACAATTAATTTTACATATATCGATATATAAAAAGATTATCTAATTTTGAAACCTAATATCATTTTCAACCATTCAAATTGATACTATTTTCTTGCATATACATTATAATAAATCTATTGAAAAAATGGTTAAAAGAACTGCTACTCAAATTCTCGAAAGCCCTATAAACAAGGAAATTAAGTTATCTTGCGCTAATATTTGGGGATATTTGATATCTTCACGCGGTGTAATTACTTTAGATAAAATTTTTTATATGTTTGGTGACAACGAGGAGCTTGAGGGAAACGTAATTACTATAAAATATTCAATTTTAATCGCTTTATTTGAATTAATTGAACAAACCATTTTTTATAACATTTTCTATTTCAAACTTTTAAACAGTACATGTATTTAGAAGGATGTGAAGAAGTATTTTTCGCAGGAATAAACTATGTGAGTTATTATCTTGAAAATTCATATTCATCGTTATTCAACGCAAGATCCATTTCATTTCATTTTATTTTTAATTCAGGATGAAAGAAACGGGGCTGCAATCGAAAATTTGTGGTTTGTAAATTATTAAATAAGATCATAATTTATTCATAATTTGTTTATAAATTTATATATTTAGCAAAGATGGTATACAAAGAAAAGAAAAGAATAATTGGGTAAAAGTGGCACTTAAGGAAAGATTTGTGTTACAAGATGGAATGATATTGCTATTTAAACGTCGACAGGGATTTGAAATATGTAAGTGCAATATTTAATTGTAAGCTGAATCATGACATTCACATGCAGTATTATTTTCAACATTGAAATATAACTATCATTGCATACTTGAAATTTGATCTAGACGAATTTCGCTCCGATTGCGGTTGTAAAGTAAGTTTAAATTTTAAATTTCGGGGTTCGAAAAGCACAACAATCTGGACGTGCTTCTCAATAGAACTTTGGAATTTCGATTTTAATTTGATTTATCTTCAATTAAAATTTGTGCTCATAATTTTATTTTATTTTTTTTATTTTAGACCTATAATGAAGATAACCAAGGTACAACCAATTCACAATCTTTCGAATTCTTATATAAATGGATTAACCTTTTAATTTTGGCATAACTAGGTTCTTCATCTGAAAGTGTAAGTGTAGTAGAAAGAAATTGCTTTTTACACAAATATGAATTCGTTAAAAGGCTTGGAGGGTATATACTGTATTTATATATATATATATATGTTTTTTATTTTATAAATTTGCATCTAATTTACTTAATTTTAGTGGCGGTTTTGGAAATGTCCACCTCGTAAGGAACATTTACGATGGAAAATTATTTGCTGCTAAAATTTCGAAATTTTCATTGCAAATGGAGTACAATGCAATGAAAGAAATTGCAAGACTTGGTCAGTTAATATATATCTTTTAACTTGATAAATATATATTTAATAATGTATATTTTGTCATTATAGACTTGCGTTGTGAAAGCGCATGAAATTTTTCAAGATTACGAATCCAAAAATAACTACTTGATAATGGATTGGTATGTAATTAAAAAACGTTGCATTTATACTTTGGTTTAACTTATATAAAGCATATTTTACTTTGAATTTACAGGATCAGATACAAATCATTGTCAACATGGATAAAGAAGAAAGGCCAAGATAAGGGTGATATTATAAGAAATATCATCAAATGTCTGGGGCCAGTTCTAAATGTTGGCATTTATATTTTTAATTAATTGGTGAATCCTATTATCTTCTCTTTCTTAATAATATTTAATATATTCCATGTTCATAGTCTATTCATGAAAGAGGATGGCTACATAGAGATATAAAGCCAGAAAACATTCTTGTAGAGAATGAAAGTCCTCTTGTATTATTAATTACGGATTTTGGAATGAGTTGCAAAATAAGCTCAAATCCAAGTGATAAAAACGGCACACCATTATTTTGTAAGTAAAATATTTTTAAAATAATTATTTAATTTATTTTTAACCGTCTAAAATCTATTAATATTCAAGGTGCACCCGAGGTTTGGCAAAATAATCCACAAAATGAATCCACAGATTGGTGGTCCATGGGACACCTAATCTATTGCTGTTATGAAGGGGAATACCTATTGAAACCTGTTAAATTAGGTTTGAAAGAAATGTTGATGGAGATTGAACACAGGTTGCAAACGATAAAGGACGGGGATGAGCCCGTAATTAACAAAATGATAGAGGGAGGACATGAAGATGGTAACCAAAACACTGTTTGATTCATCATTACAATTTAATTTTAATATTAATTAACATTTAACATTTCATAACTTTAGTTGCGGAATTCGTAGAGGCATGTCTTAAGTGGGATTCGAAAGAACGAACATATGAGAACATCATTGTAAATATATTTTATTTTCTCTAATATATAATCTATAAGAAATTAATAATAATTATAATTATTTTATTTTTTTAGAAATGCAAAATATTTAATGAAAAGGTGGGAAAAGATGACAACGAATGAGAAAATTTTATTGAACTTGTTTACCTACCACAATTATCAGTTTTTTTTTATTTGAATAAACAATTATTACGTTAAAAATAGAGAATAAAAATTCTCAATTTTTACTTAATGACATAAAATTTGTTGAATTCGTAACGGTAAGATATGATATGCTATTATTTCATATTTGCATCAATATCGATTTTCGAAACTAAAAATGAAATACCGGTATTAGCGCGCCAATTAAATAAAAATTTCTTCTAATGTGGTTGAGCTAAATAATTGGAAAGGAAAATTTTATGGAAATACTTCAAATTATATTATTTATATACAGTATATATAAAGATAAATGCTTTATAAAGCTTTTAATGATATAAAAACTGATAAATATTAAAATTCAGTCTTTATATAGAAATATTTTATTAAAAAAAATTTAAAACATTTAATCCTAAATTCATATACAATATAGAAATATTATTTTTAAAAAATAATTTAAGTAAAATTGCAGGCAAATTTCGAAGGAAAACATTGAAGGGATAATTCCGAATAATCAAATTTAGTTTGAATAATTTAATAAATTTAATTAACCAGAATTTATAATGCTACAAAAGGATAAAAATAAATTTAAAACTCAAAACTCAAGAAAATACATTTTCCACACTAATACTGTAAGCAGTAATTGCTGAAATGACTCAATATCAGCACTTTGCGTCAATTGAACTTTTGTATTAATTTTTAAATACTAATTACTTTAACTTCTTCAATATTCGGTAGTTATTTATACTCTAAAGTTGTACGATTAACTGGGGTTTCTCTTTTCTTAAAAAAAATTATAAAATTAACCAAATGCCGTTGAGGAGGATGTTCACTTGTAATAAAACACTTAGATTATTTATATCGCTCATTAAATCCTTTGTGGTCAATATGCTCAATCATTCCAAACCCAGTAGCTTTTGAATTAGAAGTTGTTTCTGCAAGTAATAAATTACCATTATTTACTAAATTATTTCATTAAGTGCTTTAAAAGAATTTGCAATGTTATTAAAATTATCAGAATCAAATTAATCAATAAATCAATAATTACAAGTCTCTATGAAAAATCTTCTCTTTATGCAAATACACCAATCCGCTAGTAATATTCAATGACATTTCCAAATAATCTCTCCATTGATGGGTGGTCGGCTATTAAAATCACCTTACGGATCATAACAATAATGATTTACTATGTTCCGTAAGACGATTTTAATAGTCAATCACCCATATTCCACAATCATAATATAATTACCATCACAATATTAAGAATAAATTTAAGGTACACTATGAATGATTAATAAGATCCTTAACATTTTGTTATTCCAAAAATCATTTTTATATATAGAATTTTCAATTACATCATGCATCATTTAGAAGTATGTGGCGTGGTTTTCGTAATCGTTATTATCCAATAGCTTAATTCAATATGAAAAAAGCGGTGATACCATCAAAAGGTTTTTTAAATTTATAAGATGATTATAATTTCTTCATATTATTGTCTTAAACATCTAATGAAATTTAATTTGTCACGTGAAATTTCCAGTTGTCAATACTGATTGGATGATACAGTAGATCGATAATCATAATTTTGCGTAGGACAATGCGTCGTACAATAATAAATATCCCAATATAGAATAAAAAGTGTGGTTAAAAATTTTTCTCTGAAAACACACAGGTCCCGTTTCCTAGTTTACAAATTAAATATTCAGATAAAAGAATAGTTGGGTGAAGGTGGCACTTAAAGAGAGTTTTTGATACACGATCAGTGTTGGATTTGGACATATATAAGTTTATATGTCCAATTAGATAAATGTCCAACAATGAACACGATGCTTTGTTAATATGTAAGTGCAGCTTATTCGTTGTAAGTTGATACATGAGTTTATCTGCAGCATTAATTTCAACATAAAAACCATCATTACATACATTTGATCTAGATGAACTTCACTCCGCAAATTTATCGCAGTAAGTTTTGCTTTAACTCTAAATTTTCTGGATAATATAATTTAAGAAAAGGATAATATTTCCATATGTTTCTGGACGAGCGGGACGTTCTATTTCATAAAAACTTTTGGTTCCGATATAATTGATTGGTAATAACCTTTACTTTATATTTTTTTTTTATTTTATTTACATTTTTTAGAATTGATGAAGATAATCAAGGTACATACAAATAATTTATTTTATTATGAATTCTTATAGAATTAATTTAACTTTTTAATTTGGTATATAAATTAGAAATTTAAGTGTAGAATAAAGCAATCGTTTTCTACACAGATACGAGTTCGTAAAACGGCTTGGAGGTATATATGTGGTGAATTAGATTACAAACATACTCCAATTCGACTAAATCTGATGTAATATATTTCACCATTACACCGCCTTATTGCCCAATTATCAGATTATATCCTCATGTGAGCTTGGACGGTATATATTTTCATATCATATGTTATTTATTTTAATAAATTATCTAATTATTATAATTTAGTGGTGGTTTTGGAAATGTCCATCTTGTAAGATAGATTTATGATGGACGATATTCGCGGCAAATATTTCGAATACTTCATTGCAAATGGAGTACAATGCAATGAAAGAATTAGGTCAGTTATTCTACATTCTATCTTCTATCTGTATTTATAAAATTTTTAATAATATTACTTTGACATTATAGGCCTGCGTTGTGAAAGTGCGTGAAGGATTTCACGATAATTAATCCAAAAATGATTACTTGATAATGGACTGGTATGTAATTAAAAACTTGTCAATACTTGTATATTTCGATTTTAGTCATTTATTAAATTAATTACATTATTATTTTTATAGGATCACGTCTAATTCTGGATCAGATGAAAGGCCAAGAGAAGTGTGATATAATAAGAAATATCATCAAATATCTGGTGCCTTTTAGAGGTTGGAACCGGTTAATTTTTAACCGGTTAATAACCGGGTAAGGATTTTTTAGGCCGGTTCCAACCTCTAGTGCATTTTCTTAACGTATGCATTTTAATTCATATCATATTTATATTTAATAAATTTATAATTATATTATGCTTAATAATACTAATTTATTCCATATTTATAGTTAATACATGAAAGAGAATGGCTGCATAGAGATCTAAAGCCGGAAAACATTCTCGTAGAGAATGAAAGCCCTCTTTCATTATTAATAACGGATTTTGGATTAAGCAGAAAACTTTGCTTAAATCCAAGTGATAAAAAAGGCACGCCGTTGTTTAGTAAGTAATTATTTTTACATATCTTTTAATTTGTTTTAGATGCCTAATATCCCTTTATACTTAAGGTATTGCAAATGCAACCTCAAAATGAATCGGCAGATTGGTGGCCATTAGGTCACCTAATTTATAGCTGTTATGAAGGGGAATATCTTTTGCAACCTGCAAAGCTATGTGTGAAAGACATTTTGGTGGAGATAGATCACAGGTTGCAAATGATAAAGGACGGGAATGAACCCGTTATAAATAAAATGATAAAGGGAGGACATGCAGATGGTAATTAAAGCATTTTATTATTTTGTTTTAATAAAATTAATATATTAACTACATACTGTAAAATTTATAATTTTAGTTGCAGAATTTGTGAAGGCATGTCTTAAAAGGGACGCGAAAGAAAGAACGTTTGAGAACATCATTGTAATTACAAATTTTATTTTCTCTAATAAATTATCTAAAGGAAACTAATACTAATGATAATGTTTTTATTTTAGAAATGTAAAATATTTAATGAATAGATAACAACGACTTCATATCTTGAAATTGATGAGAATATTGAAGGTATATATACGCTGTTAGTGATAGTCTTGTTATGACGCACGATACCGCGCCTAACATAATTGACGAATGGTAATCTTGACGATCACGATTCTCAACTTTCTACCATTTCTCTGATTTCTCTAATTTTACTAATTTCTTAGCGATCTCTAATTTCACATATTTCTTTAATATATTTAATTTCTTCATTTTCTTATATTTCTTATATTTCTTTACTATCCTAAATATCTATTTCATATTGATGTATTTTATATAAATATCTTGTATTTCTGCATCAATAAATGGCAGAGTTATTACAATTCTCTAATAAATCAATTACATTTATCTCTAAAACTTATCTTTACTAGTCAAACAATTCATTCTTCTTTAAATCTATATCAATAAAGACGACCTGATCCTTCAATTTAATTATTCGTGTTTATTTCTTCCATAGTTTATACGTACATAAACTCCCTGCTAGCAAATAATCTTTGTTAACTTAACGACGAACTGTTTAAGCTTAACAGCGCTTTCATATAATGTTCGTTCATGATCTCTAAATCTGTATAACCTTCCAACAATGTTACTAAGTATACATGAATAGGACGACATAAGTGTTAATAATGGTATAGCATCGTAATATACCACTCTTCTAAAATATATAAACTTTTGGATTTTTTAAATTAATTAGTTAAAAAAGGATATAATAATGTTAATCATAATAAATAAAATAATTAAATACCTGAATAACTAATTGAGAAATATTTTCAAAAAAGATATTAAAGCAAGATCCCTAAAATATCCTATTTAATGCTTCTTTAGAAAATGTAACATTAAAAATATCTAACCCAACAATAATTACTTGAGATTAGAGTATCGTTAACAATTTAACTTCAGATACCGCTAATACTGTAAACAAGTATACATCTTTTTTATTCTCTCTCGACTATTCAAAATATTCTCTCATTTTTTTTTT